GACACCAAAACTAAGTGCACTAATTCTATAATTCTGTGGGAGGATTCCATGCCACTACTAACAAAACAGACCTCCAATGATCTACTGTGCTCCTTTTGCAAAGAACTCAGTATCTGTTAGTAACTGGAGTGACCCCGGCATACGGGGAACGGGCAGGACAAACTGGCAATGGGCATAGGCTCTCCTGCTTTCCTGGCCTCCACCTCACTGGAATGAGACTGCCTTACCTTCTGCCAGATCAACACAGTTCCTTTGCGATACATCAGCGGCTCATTATTGTAGTTGATGTTGAATTCAGAAAACAGAATCTCATTCTTGTCTGCTGCGAGAGTTCCCTGGTAAAAGAAAATAGACATAAAAGGTCTGTATGTCTTGTCTCTCCCCTAATGCCACCTATCTATTCTGCATTGAGTTTCCAAAACAAACCAAGAAGTAGAAAGACTTATCAAACATCTTATAATTACTAATGAATTTTTATCTCAAAAGCAATTCAAATCTTATTTAAATAACTACATTCATAAAATTCTCTTCTGGGGGCTGGCATTGTGGCTTGTGGGTTAAGCTGCTGATCCCAAAAGGGGACCAGTTTGAGTCCTAGTTGCTCCTGGTCTGATCCAGCTCCCTGCTAATGGCCTAGGAAAGCAGTGGAGGATGGCCCAAGTGCTTGGGCCCCTGATACCCTCATAGGAGACCTGGATGAAGCTCCTGGCTTCGGTCTGGCCTAGCCTTCGCCATGGCAGTCATTTGGGGAGTGAAACAGTGGATGAAGATCTCTTTCTGTTAAATAAATCTTAAAAAAAAAAAAAAATTCTCTTGCAGCAAGCACTGGTCAAGGCTATGAAAGGAACAGGAGGAAGTAATAGTAACCGAGTGCCCCTTGTATACCAGGCACTTTATGCTTCTTTTCTTTCTCTTTTTTTTTTTAATTTATTTTATTTGAAAGGTGAAGTTACAGAGAGGCAGAGAATGCGAGAAAGAGAGAGATCGATCTTCTGTCTGCTGGTTCACTCCCCAAATGGCTACAATGGCTGGAGCTGGGCTGATCCAAAGCCTGGAGCCAGGAGCTTCCTCCTGGTTTCCCATGTGGGTGCAGGGGCCCAAGCACTTGGGCCATCTTCTACTGCTTACCCAGGCCATAGCAGAGAGCCAGATTGGAAGTGGAACAGCCGAGATTCAAACTGGTACCCATATGGGATGCTGGCGCTGGCACTAACAGTGGCTTTATCCACTATACTACAGCACCAGCCCCCATGCTTATTTTCTGATTTGATCATCGTTTCCATTTCCATTTTAGAAATGAGAAAACAGAGGCTTAGATTCTAAAATTACCCATGGTTGAAGATTACTTCATTCTTCCAAGAAGAAATCAAAACCCAAACCTGACTCTTGCAAACTCTGGAGATACCTACTAGTTTTCCTATTATTACCATATATAAACTTCATCACAAGTGTTATTAATAAAGGCAATCAGAAGGTGTCAGGTACGGTGCCAGCAGCTGTCACACTACTTCATCTCACAGTCATCCTATAAGCAGCACCACTACCTGGTAAAAAAAAGCCAATACTAATTTACCACTGAAAATGTACTTTACATGCTCCTGTGTTTGACATGTGTCATGCCAGTTCATTTTGACCTTAAACCTATAATACAGCAACTATTATTTTTCACATTTTACCTACGCAGAAGTGAGGCAAAGAGGATAAAATTAAACATGAGCATAAAAAAAGAGCATGGATATTTGACTCCCAGAACACATACTCTCACGACACACAAGGATCATAAGCCCAAGAAATGACAGGTGCCCAGCAGGGCCGGGTATGAGCAGAGGCCTGGTGGACCTCAGATGGAGAAGAGCACGGTGCCTTGTCTACAGAGAACAGTCAGCTCGCAGCTCCACCTGGGAATGCAGAGCCTCTGTCCATCAGCTGAGCACATGAAAGCTCAGGGCAAAGTCATAACCCACCAGGCCTACAGAACAGGCAGGTGGCAGAGCCGCTCCTGTTACTTCCTCCAAAACAGAGCTCTAAAAGGGGGCTAAAAAAAATTGTGAAGGGAATGTGAAAAAAAGTGCTGCCAGACACGGCCTATGGTCAACTATCTGCAGCTAAGTGTTAGTATAGTCGGATCATACCTGTAATCTCCCCTGGGCTTGTACCGGAGTCAGTCCAGATTGTTGTACGAGTGCCCAGAAGACTGTATTATAAAGATTATTGATGTGACCTGTGAAGAGAACACAGCATCGTGTTTATATACGTACAGCATCTCCTCTGTAAGCACACGTTCAAGGGGTACCAGAGCCCTGCCCCTCTTCTCTGGGAGACATTCTGTGACTTGTCCAAGATCCTACCCAGGGAACACAGCAGGAAGGGGCAGGTAGAAAAACAGCTAGTTCCTAACCAGAGTTTCATCTGGCCATTCCAGTTATACTCTGCATAAATCTGTTAACTTGTGCATTAACCGTGGGGTTACTTTCAAAGTTATTTGGTTTATAGTATCCTGATCTCTTTTCCAGTTTTTCTGGCAAAATCAAAATAGACCAAATGAGTAAGAGCCTCACAAACATCACCACAGTCCCGTAAGGCAGGAGTCACAGCTCAAATACTGAAGCTGGCGTGAACACAAATGTGTAAAGCAGTGGCAGATCCCAGGGGACCACCAAAGGGCAAACACCGGCACAGTGGCGCCTATATGTGAGTGATGTGAAGGCAGCTGCCACCCAGGCTCTGTTCAATGCCAAGGCAAACGCAGAGCTGATATGGTCTTCTGATTTAAAACAAGAAAAAAAAAAACTTGTGGGGAGGTTTTAGACTCTTCCAATTAAAAAAATATTTTAAAAACTTTACATACTAGATTCCAAACGAAATATACAAGAGCCTGTTTCAGACAGACACCTTTAATGCATGCACCTGGTGATTTAACCACACCTGACTACTGGTGCCACTTACAATCTGCTTGTCGCCAACTGAGGTAGTCCTTTAAGGTCTGGTTGCTAGGATACACCACCACTCTTCCATCAAAGCCTGGGGGATACAGAAGGGGCTGGTCCTCAAAGTAATCGCGCCAGTAAAACACATAGCTAGATGCAAACTGGGAGGCCACGTGAGTCATGAACTTACTTGCAAACGTAGGCACATTGGGTGGAGCAAGGAAAGAGAAAAAACATGATATTAATTCAACACCATACAGGGCCTAAGGGTGCAACAGGGAGATTACACAAACCGCCCAGCAAGCCAAGAGATAAAATGCATTTGGTTAAGAAAAACTACTTTAAGGTCTTGGTTTTATATTTTGAATGCAGACTGTCTTTCCTTCCAGTCTTATTAAGTAAATTATTAATACCAATTTTTTTCTCTGAAGGATGTGATGTGAATTCTTGGTTTAGGCATTTGTTTTCAGTCTTTGAATGAGGGAAACATTGTTTTAAAAGCACAGAATTTATCATATGGGTTTCAAAATACTGCCAAATCAAATGTAAGATTTATTTATTTTCCTTAATTAAAAATTTAAACAACACTACAATGCATGTAGAATGTCACTGGCTAAGCCAACCTATGAGTCATCAATACCACTTTTGTATTCTGTTTCTAGTCCGAATGTTCGAAGCCAGACCAGGCTAGAAGCTAAGCTGATGGGGCACAGAGGGGAAACTAAGATAAAGAGACAGCTGGACTGCTCAGGTATCTGGTGGAGTCCAGAAGCCTATCAGGAAATAAACATCCACTCTGTGACTCTACATTATGGAAACCTCCTCTGTGATCTGTAACTGCAATCAAGGCAAACAGAAAACCAGCTACTGGTAGGCAGTGTTCCGCAGAGGGGAGGCGGGGCCTGGAATTACCTGGCTCTTCTTTTAAACCAGTTGCTTTTCCGCTTGAACACAAAGCTATACTCGTCACTCTGTCCATAAGCGATCACTATATCCTCCAATTCTTCCATTACCGTCTGTGCGCATTTGGTCATCAGGTGGAGAGCACGGCTGTCATTTGGTTTTGCAAAGTTGTGCTTCTCAGAGAACCTTCACAGGGGAAAGAGAATAGGGACGAGGGCATGGGTGTAGGAGCTTGAGATTAAGGACACAGATGACAGAGGCTGTTATGAGGAAAATACTTCACAGCACTGTGAACCAAACACTCCGGCAGCCCTAACCTAACCCACTTTCTTGAGAACTCTAGGTTTGTCCTGCCCCGAGCAACTGAGAAAAAGGGACACACTGCTAAGCCTCGCGTCCCTTCTCTGAGAAGTGGGGATGTAGAGTATTCACCTCATCCGCTTCCAATTATGCCTGTCTCAGAGGACATGCTCAGTCGCTGTTAGTGACCATTATGAATACATCAGCCCCTCTTTTAAAAACTTAAGCTCCTGTGTTTATTACGTTTCTTTCTCCTTTGTGAACGCCTTTCTTGAATCCAGTCCATGTGGTGTGTGACTGATAATGACATATGGGCATCCTGTAAAGTGTCCCCCACAGCAAGGCCTACATGGAGCTCTTAAGTCCGCACGCAAAGATAGCTAACAGAATCGCTGTGTAATTGGCTGAGGAATTTAAGTACGGTGCTCCAGGCCAAGGCCTCACCAGGGGGCATCTTGCCCCACTTATTGCCCGGACTAGTTCAAATGTAAGCGCTGTCCTGGCTAGCACCCAGGGAGATGCTTAGTGCCGGGCGCTCATTGGCTGCCACGTTACCCCGGCAACCGTGAGCCTGAGGCGGGCACGGTAGGTGCCGGACTCCCCGGAAGCGAGGGCGCACCACGCCGCCCGGGGCCGAGCTCGCTCACCGATGGAAATTCCGGCCGTCCAAGCGCACTACCACCCAGCAGTGGGCCAGGCAGGTGTCGTCAGCCTCGAAGTCCCGCACGTACTCGAACTTGCTTTTTGCCATGGTCGCGCTTAATTTCAGGCACCGTCTCAGCGTGGAGGAAGCAGCGGCCCAGCAACCGCGAACCTTAACCGGGCAGGAGGCCCACATTCCCCGAGCGGAAGGGAAAGGCCCAGACAATCCCGCCCCGGAAGTCTCCGCTTCCCTCCGTGGCCGCTCTAGCCTTGGGGGGAAGTCGTCATCGCCCTCTCGTCTCTCCTTGTAGTTCGCAGGGCACCGGGGACCGAGAGGGAGATGTCCTTTCCTACGTGAGGTAGGCGCTGGCTCGCCTTTCTTCTGCGGTCCAGAAGCTTTTAAAAATTTTGTCCTAATCAAGTTTGAGAGCGTGGTTGTGATGGTTCCCGCCTTCTAAGTAGCATTTATGAATTCATAATATGAAGTGTGTCAAACGAACGGAAATACATATAATTAAGACAACCAGCAGTTTATATCCGCCAGCCCCTGGTGCAGTGATGATTCCTTGCCCGTCTGTTTTCGCCACAAAATTGAAATCCCTCTTCCATATAAGTGATACCGTTTTTCCACTCGGCTGGCGTATTTTCCAGTACCATTATTTCAAGGCGTGACTTTTAAAAACAGGTGTGACTCAGTATTCCAACATACTGGTGTGTTAGATCAACTTTACTCTCAACTTTCTCACCAATAAGTAATCAGAGGCCCCATGTTGGATTTCTTGTTGCTTGTAGATAATTGTAACAACACAACTGGAGTGATCTGTGTGATTCTATATGGTTTATATAATGCTGTTTCAAATTCTTGACATTTTTTTCATCCTCAAGAAAAATACGCAATGTAAAAGGATTTACCGTGGAAAGTCTCTCACTGACTGCTAACCTCACATCCTACAGGCAGTAGCTGCCGCTGATTTCTTGGATATTTGTTCCATGATTCCTCTGGCTCCACAGCAGTATCTGCAGCCATAGCCACCCTCCTCTGGCATGTTCTCAGTAACTTCAGGGGAAGAATTGACAGTTTCCTTGGTAGACGCAATAAGAAAGAATAAGTTACATAAGGTCACGTGGCAGAGCCAACACACAAATCCAAAACATTGTCCCTCTTTCCTCGCTTCCTGTTACTTTAAAGTCAGTTTTCTGTAAGTTATCATTGCTCACCTTTTATTTCCACAACCTCCCCTCTCCAGCCTGATGAGGAGACAGTCAAGTCCTACTTCTCCAGGGACCCTACATTTATTACTTAGAGGGGCCAATGTTGTGACGCATCAGGCTAAGCTGCCACGTGCAATGTCAGCATCCCATTTGGATGCTCCTTGCTACCAAACCAGCTCCTTGCTGATGCGCATGGGAAAGCAGTGGATGGATGATGGTCCAGTTGCTTGGGTCCCTGCACCCATGTGGGAAAGCCAGATGGAGTTCCAGGCTTCTTGCTTCAGCCTGGTCTAGCCACAGCCACTGCAGTCATTTGGGGAGTGAACTGGTAGATGGAAGATCTCTGTCCATCTGTCTCTATCTATAACTCTGTTTTTCTTTTTTCTTTTTTTTTGAGATTTATTTTATTTATTTGAAAGACAGAGAGAGGTAGAGACAGAGAGAAAGGTCTTCCATCTGCTGGTACACTCCCCAGCTGGCTGCAATGGCTGGAGCTGTGCCAATCCGAAGCCAGGAGCCAGGAGCTTCTTCCAGGTCTCCCACGTAGGTGCAGGGGCCCAAGGACTTGGGCCATCTTCTACTGCTTACCCAGGCCATAGCACAGAGCTGGATCAGAAGTGGAGCAGCTGGGACTAGAATTGGTGCCCATTTTGGATGCTGGCGCTTCAGGCTGGAGCTTTAACCCGCTGCACCACAGTGCCGGCTGTAACTCTGTTTTTCAAGTAAATTTTTAAAATTTTTATTTATTTAGTTAGTTAGTTAGAGATTTATTTAATTATTTGAAAAGCGAAGTTACAGCAAGGTAGAGGCAAATGCAGAGAGAGAGAGACATCTTCCATCTGCAAATTCACTCTCATCGTTGCAAATGGCAGCAATGGCTAGACCTGGGCTGATCTGAAGCCAGGAGTCAGGAGCTTCCTCTGGGTCTCCCATGTGGCTACAGGGGCCCAAGGACTTGGACCATCTTCCGCTGCTTTCCCAGGCACATTAGCATGGATCTGGATTGGAAGTGGAGCAATCAAGACTTGAACTGGTTGCCCATATGGGACGCCGACACTGCAGATGGCAGCTTTACCTGCTATGCCACAGTTCCAGCCCTTAAATAAAACTTTTTGAAATTACCTATCAACATGAACCCTTGATTTTTAAACATGTATTTCCCAGGGGTAAGCATTTGACACAGTGATTAAGCCATCCCTTATCAGACTGCCAGGGTTTGAATCTCTGCTCTCGTGTCAGCTTCCTGCTAATATGCAGCTAGTGATTTCTGAAGAAGCTGAGCCTCTAGCACCTACGTGGGAGACCTAGGTTGAGGTTCCCCCATCCTTGACCTGGCCTACCCATGGCTGTTGTGGCCATTTGGGGAATGAATCAGCAAACAGACGAACTATTGATCTCTCTCTCTCTCACTCTCTCCTTTCTTTCACTCTCCTTTCTCTCTCCCTCTCCCTCTCCCATTAAAACAAGAAAAAATTCTATTTCACAGTTCTTTTCATTGAGGGAGATCAATTGACGTCCCAGAGCAAAAAAAAAATATTTTAAATACCATTTCCAGTTAAAAGAAACTCCTTGGAGAAATGGCTGGTTCCATACTGTGACAAAGAAAATTCAAGGTGAGCGTAGAGCATCATATTGTGCCAGAAAGGAAGGAAATGTTCATAGACTGGTGAGGGGCAGACATTTGGTGCAGTGGGTAAGCTACTGCGTGGGATGCCTGCAACCTATAGTGGAGTGCCTGAGTTCAAGTTCCTCCTGCACTCCCAGCTCCGGCATCTTTTTGATGCAGACCATGGGAAGCAGTGGCTCACATACTTGAGTCTGCCACCCACAAGGGAGAATTTAGTTCCCTGGCTCCTGGGTCTCGTCTGACCTAGCCCTACCTGTTGCAGGCATTTCGGGGAGTAAATCAGCCAAGAGGATGTTCCTTTCTCTCCCACCCCACTTCCCATCCTTCTTGTCTTTCTGCCTCTCAAATAAAATAAATACATAAAATTTTTAAAGAGTGATGAAGGCACGTCAAAAAGATGAGAAAACTTGATGGGGCTCCCACTGAGACAAATTTGAACATCAACAAGAGAAATTGTTATAATTTAATCAATATAATATATATCCACAAGTTCAGAACAATACTTGAAAAAAACTAACTTGCTACCAGTAGAGATGATTAATATACTAACTTCTTACTCTGAAAACTGATTCTTGAAGGGACAGAATAGGCATGTAACCTTGCTTTGCTCTGTGGAAGTATAGTTTATTCCCATTGGATAAGAGAAAGCTGTTAATAGGTTACCATGCCTCCCATCCAACACCCTGCTAATGTGCAGCAGATGATGGCTCAAGTATTTGGGTTCCTGCCACCTATGTAGGAGTCCTGGCTATGGCCTGGCCCAATCCCGGCAGTGGTGGGCATTCAGGGAGTAAACCAACAGATGAAAGACCTCTCTCTTCCTCTCTCTCTACCTTTCAAATAAGTCTTGTTTTTTTTAAATGCTGCCTAGTTTAAAATGCAGAATGGTGGACTTAGAAAAATCAGCTTTTTGTAAACATCTGTGAAATAATAAATTCAAGCAAGTATCACCAATGGGTGCATGCTAAAACCATAAAGATTTGTGGAAAACAGTATTCTCCAAATGCCGTGGTATTTTCCCACAGATCATTTGCTAATCACAAAGGGAAAAGGAGAGCTCAGAATGTCACCCCCTTAAATTTGTCAGCAAACAGTATCACAGTGGAGATGTAAGCCACACCTACCAGTGGCTGCTCCTGTTGTGAGCTAGCTTGACAAACACAGTAACAGGAGATAGAATGGATTTAACTAAATCAATGGGTCTCAACCTTCCCTACACATTAAAATCAACAGAGGGCACTTGGTAAATTCCCAGTTCAGGTCCCAGGCTGCACCCAGGCCAAGCAGATCAGAACCTTTACAGGTGAGATCTGAGCATTAATGTAAAAGCTCTCAAGGTGATGTCAACACAAAACCAAGATCAAGAAGTACTGGCTTAGAGGAAAACACTTAAAACATACAGAAGGGTGGGTGCTTGTCTTAGTAGTTGAATCGCCACTTGGGAGGTCCGTGTCCCTTATGAGAGTGTTTGAGTCTGCTCTGTTCCTGATTCTGGTTTCTTACTGAAGCACACCTTGGGGGGCAGATGGTGGCTCAAGTACTTGGGTCTCTGTCACCTACGTGGGGAGACCATCACTGAGTTCTGGGCTCCCAGCTTTTGCCTGGCCCAGCTACAGCTAACATTTGGGGAGTGAACCAGCAGGTAGGAGATCTGTCTGTCTCTTTGCCTTTCAAATAGTTAAGTAAAAATTTTAAAAAGTAAGCACCAAGAACATAATCAAATTCAGAATATAGGACATGATTTCTTCTTCAAAATCTAATTTCATCAACAAGAAAAAAAGAGAAGGGAGAGAGGGAGGAAGAAGACAAGTGGGGTACTGTTCCAGGATAAGATATTTAAGAGATGTAAAAACCAAATACAAGTAAAAATCCTGGCTGCATTCTGGCCTAAATTCACTGAGGATACCTGAGTAACAAACAGCCCTAAGTTTCAGTGGTTTACAAAGCAGGAGTTGATTTCTTGCTTGGGTCACTTGTACTGCTGGTTAGCTACGTTATACTTCAGGCAGCTGTTTCTGTCCCTGCATCTTCTCATTCCCAAACCCAGAAAATGATTTGACAAGCTGCTGCACTGTGTGCAGTTTGCTGTTCAAATTATATTTGCTAAAAGCGACATGGCCAAATATAAGATTGCAGGACAAGAGGCTATTATCCCCCTACAGAGAAGCGGGAAGTGAACAATTTTGAACAATAATACCATCTATTTCTACTGCTTGTTAGTTGATACTAGAAAATTATTGTTAATTTTACAGGCACCATACTGGTAATGTGGTTATGTAGGAGAAATTTTTAGGAAATACATGGAGAATTATGAGTAATTAGAGATGAAATGGCACCATAAAAATTAATAGAAAAATGAAAGTGGCAAAATGTTAATAATTATTGAATTAGTGATGGTTATATGAATAGACATTACATTGTTTTTTCCTAACACGTTATGGGTTGAATTGTGCACCACTCCACCCCCAAGATATCTGTGGAAGTTATTTTATTTGGAAGGAGGGTCTCTGCAGATGTAACCAATTAATATGGAGCCACTGGAATACTGTACCTTTACTCCCACATGACTGATTTCCTTCTAAGAAAACAGACACATGCAGAGAGGGAGAACACCACGTGAAGAAGGATGCAGAGATTGAAGTGGTATGTCTGCAAGTCAAGGGGAACCACGAATTGTCCACTGTTACCAGAGGCTAGGAGAGAGGCATGGAACAGATGTCATTAGTATTCCCATTTTACAGATGTGAAAATTGAGTGGAGAACAGTGAAGTGACTTACCTGGGGTTACAGATGCCACAGGTGGTGGAGCAGAAATTCTAGTCCACGGTTTTAACTCTTAGTCCCTGCTCCATGCCACTGCCCCTCATTTGTTTTTATTCATCAGCCCTGAAGTAGTTTCTCAGTGTGCTAATGATTTAGTACTTTCTGAGCCATGACATCCTAGAGGTATATGGATAGTGTAATCCATTAATTCCCAAACAGTTTATTTACCTACAGCCATTATGAATTTTTCATATCCATGCACTACTTTATTTTACTCATATTTGTACATGTTAACTGTCTTCTTTTTGAATCATTTTATTGAAAGTAACCTCCAGCCTATCAAGAAAGAACATCACCAGCCCTAGGAACCTATCACAGTTACTTTTCTCCTTTCAAGGTAATGGCCTTCTTAAGTAACTGAGTTAGGCTCATTTCTGAACTTCATAGAAATGAAATCTTATACTGTATGTTCTTTGGCTTTTGATCTCTTTAAACTAACATTATGCTTTGGCGATTCAACCAGGTTGAACACAAAATGGTAGTTCATGACTCTTCATAGCTATATGGTATTCCACTGTCTGACTGTATCATCACTGAAAAGATGCTAGGTTGTTTCCAGTCTGAGAGTATTTATGGATAATGCTGCTCTGAACATTCTTGTTCATTTCCCCAAGTTTATGATGAGTGTATATCTGCCTGGAGTTTTTAGGTAATGGGAAATGCATCTGTTTACTTTAAGTAGATGATTTCATATTTGCTCCAATGTGTTATTGATGAATTTACACTTCCAACATGGTTTGTGATCGTTCCTGTAGCTCCACATATTCATGAGCCATAGATAGTGTTAATCTTAACGATTGTGATTCTGGGGCAGGTGTTATGGTGTAGAGGGTTAAGCACTGCCTGGGACACCCACATCCTGAATGACAGTGCTGTATCCTATATCTGGTTACTTTGCTTCTGCTTCATTTATCTGCTGATGCACCTGGGAAACTATGGATGATGGCTAAGTACTTGAGTTCCTGCCACTCATTTTTTGGGAGACCTGCTTGGAGTTCCTGCCTCCTGGCTCTGACCTGGCCCAGCCCTAGCTGTTGTGGCCATTTAGGTTCTGAATCACAGCATGGAAGGTTTCTCTGTCTTTCTCTGTGTGTGTGTGTGTCACTCTGCCTTTCAAATTAACTAATTAATCTTTTAAAAAATATTTATTTTATTTGAAAGGCAAAGTTACACAAACACACACACACACACACACACACACACACAGAAAGAGAGAGAGAGAGAATCTTCCATCTGCTGGTTCACTTCGGAAATGGCTACAACATCTGGAGCTGGGCCTGTCCAAAGCCAGGAGCCAGGAGCTTATTCTGGGTCTCCCACGTAGGTGCAGGGGCCCAACCACTTGGGTCTTCTTCTGCTGCCTTCCCAGGCACATTGGTAGGGAGATGGATCAGAAATGGAGCAGCCAGGACCTGAACCATTGCCATTATTGGATACCGATGCTGCAGGCAGCAGCTTTATTTGCTATGTCATAGCTCTAGCCCCACTAATTAATCCTTTTAAAAAATTATGATGTGTCATCTGGCGTGCATGTAGTAAATTTTTTGTGCTGTATATTTACATGGGAATGAGTAGCATTGATTATCTTTTTTTGATTGGCCAATTAGATATCCTTTATTGTGAAATATTGTTTAAGTCTCTTGACCATTTTTTAGACTTAAGTGAATTTATTTGAAAGGGAAACTTCATGTTATTACTATAAATGGAAAATCAGTACCATATGCCAAAAATATGACTATTAAAATAAATGAAATTCCAGCATAATGCTCATTCTTTATAGTACTACATTTTTGTTTTCTTTTTTCATTTTTCCAATAAGGAAATGGAAGCACTTCAATTCCAGGCATACTCAAAGTCTTGTAAAAAGTCAGTGGTAGAGTTAGATCTGGCTCAGAGAGCCTTCTCCCTTGCAGTTATTTAGGAATGTGTCTTCTAGTTTTTATTCCAGACTATTGCCCCCAGGTAAAATGAGCATTTCCAGCAGAAGCATAAGTAAACTGCAGTAATGAGAGCAGGATTTTACTTAAAGTGAGAGTGAGTATACATTCAGGTGTGAATGTGGGTTAATGCCTGGGGAGAGAAGCTCCACATGCGAGGGCCACAGGGGGCTGCCTGTTAAGAGGGAGTGTGAGAGAAGACCTAAAGGGGCACTGCGGGATACAGTGATCCCTTTTATGCAGTAGGGACTGGTCCTCTAATTGAATATACAAATGGGGTGGAGTTTGGGTGGGGTTTAATGCATGTGAGAGCTTCTGGGAGAGTTTCTTGGTGTCTCCACGTGGAGCTCATCATGGCATCTGCTCCTTCTTGGGCTTGGAGGGGACTCAGATGCATCATGGGAAAATGGGTATGCTGGGTTGGCACGCGAAGGGTTGGAGTTAGGATGCAGGTCTGGAGACAGAAGCTGCGGAAATTGTTTCAGCTTATTTGTTCCTTATCTGGCTCCCTGCCTAATTCTGCCATGTCACAGTGACTTAGGAAAATGTTGAAGAGGAGGGGGCAGAGCAAAAGCTGGAACTGAACTCTCCTCTAGGTGTGGCAGTTAATAGCAGGAGCTGTTTGTCAAATATCTGCTCAATGCTAGGCACTGTGCGTCCCGTTACATGGGCCATCTCACCCTTTGCACTGTGCCCATTCAGGTTGGCCGTTGCATCTATGTTCCAGGCAGGAACAAGAAAGGGAAAGAAAGCAGAAGGCTGTGCTTCAAGCTTAGAAGCTTAGTTGTCTCTTTTTATGAAGATGTAACAAAGCTGCACACATTCTGCTTACATATTTTTGAGCTTTGTTATCTTCTAGGGAGATTGGAAAATGTAGATTTTTAAGATGAGCATTTGGCCACCGGCAACAACGTGGGCTTTTTTAAACAAAGAAAGATGGGAGAATGCTATTGGATGGGCAACTGGAGGTTTCTGCCTCGGACACACAGGGGCTATAAAGGGGTAGTCTGCCAGGTCCTATTAGTGTGAACCATCACTCCAACCCCTCAGCCTGCCCTGTACCCCCATCCTCCCCTGACAGAGCCTGTCTACCCACAGAGAAAAGGGAGAGGAAAAGGGAGATCAAGAGATTGGTTGGGAATTCCTGGTGAGATGCTACTTCTTTCCCTCTCATACTTGCCTCCACTACCACCTGCCTTGCCCCCCACCCCCCAACCTGGTGCAAAGATGAAACAGACTTACATTGCTTAAAGACAAGACGGATTCTGAGAAACAGGCACTGGGTAATTTTGTCGCTGAGAACACTATAGCATGTACCTAACAAATCAAGGCAGCATTGCTATCACTAGCTGATACAGTCTTATGTGACTAATATGCAGTCTGCCATTGCCCCAATGGTCCTTTTGTTGTTGCATAACTATACTGGCAGGGAGAGGGGAAAGGCTCCTAGAAAAAAAGGGGTGTTGTTTACCTTAGCAGGTGAATTGCAAGGGAGCTGGGGACCTACAGTTTTCCTGGTGGCACCACTGTAGAGGGACACTGAGAGACTCACTGGGAGATGCTCACGGATTTGATCTCTTCTGCTCTCCCTGAGTCTGGGGTTGTGTGTGAATTTATAGACCAGTGGTTGCCATGCACTTGGACATCTCTGAGCAGCCTGGCCAGAAGAAGGAACATCATGTGGTATGCCTGAGCAAAGAAGGGATTCGCCTTACTACAATCCCATAAGAAGGAAACCAGAGCATAGCAGAGGAGGCAGGAGCTGGGAGTTACCTGCGAGGTCACTGGGTAAGAATAATCACCTCCTCATGGAGAGTCTGGTAGGACCAAAGGCAGCTAAGGTTGTTCCATTCCAAAGGATCCTCAGTAACAACAGAGGATCACAGTGGGCTGAAAATCGCCCCAGAACAACCATGCACCATGCCAAAGCAGACAGAGCCCTTCCCAGCCCCAGGCTAAAGACCATGTAGTTTTTAAAAGGCCACACTTTTTTTTTTTTTTAAAGGCCGTACGTTTTTTAAAGGCCTCTGACTCCCTTATCCCCAGCTCAGCCCTCAACAGGAATTAAGCCTTGAAAAGAGGGTAGCAGTGCAGAGGGGCTCAGCACTGGCTGTGCTGTCCATCCATTTCCAGCTATTGGCTGTGAGTACAGTAAAAGAACAGACCCAACGCTCCTACTCCAAACTCCTTCAGTGATAGGCCTGGTTTATGCTGGAGTGAGGGGAGGGGAAGAGGAGAAGTGAGGATTAAATAGGATTGAGATCACAGATTTGAACTGCAGAAACTGAGCTTCAGATTTTAAAAGTGGCTGAAAGATTATGGGAACCTGGCCAAAAAGATGTATTAGAGCAATATCATGGGGTATATGTGGATGTACTGATAGCAGAAATGTAGTAGATAAATGTTGTTTCATGTTTAAACTTTTTGAATGAAGACGAATCAATAACTAGTCATAATAAAGATAACTTACATTTACAGAGCACTTACAAATTGCTCTGTGGTACTGCATAAACCTTTCATAGTCATCTCTTTTTATCTTCAGAATAACCCATTTTTTTGAATGGCAAAATAAAGAAACTTTTAAGTATTCTATAAATCCCCAAAAGCAGTAGAAGGGAGTTCTACAAACTGCCCCCCCCCCCAAAAAAAAAAAAAAAAACTGCATAGCATGCAGTAAGCCAATTCCTGACCCTGGGGTGGTGGAAGAAAGTAGCAGTTTGCTGTGTGCAGAGTAAGGAGTCAGGCAGCCTTTGCTCAATTCCTGGACTCCCCAGTAGATGAAGGGTGGTGACTTTTACGGCAAGTGATCAGTTTGTGTGTGGGCCCCGTGTCAGTCCACAGTGCTTGTGAGCTTCCTTGGGTTGGTCAGTGACATGAAGGTGGCGTGTTCTTCAGAAAACACTGTGGTGGTAAAGTGAGCTCTGGCTTGTCCATGGTCTGCAGATAGAGTGATTATCACTTTGTTTAATCAGGACTTGAAGTCCCTGCAAAACATCTCAAAATACAGTCTAGTGGTAGTGTGAAAGCCGTAGAGATAATTGCACTCTGAATGTGCAGTCTGGAGTCCTGCAGGGCCAGCCTGACTATTGTACCACTCCCTTGATTTGATGAGTCAGTCTGTAATAAGGAGTTGTAATCACCACAGTGAAGACAGAGGATGCAGGCTAAGGGAGAGTGGCTGGGGCCTGATCAGGTCTACATCAAAGACATTAGGGATGGGAGCTTGGTTTCACAGGGGTTAAAAGTCTACACTTTTAACTACAATACTCTGCTGTCATAAAATAATTAGCACTTAACATAGCCCTGTTGCCGTGTTCAGTACTCAAGATACATTTTCTGGATCCATCCTCTCAGCTTCCCCATTGAGATGACTTATTGTCCGCATTTATCAGATTACCTACAACAGATGCAGTAACTTTTGAAATACTTGGCAGAGACAACCAGCAGAGCAGAGAGGCTCACTCAGGCTACTGTCTTCAGGGATCAAATCAATTTAGATCCTACCTATCCCTAGGCTGCTGATAAATGAAGAAGACAACCACACTGCAAGGGACAAGTAAGTGCCACAGAAGACACACAGAGAAAGCATTGTAAGAATCCTCAGGAAAGGGGCCAGCGCTGTGGCACAGCAGGTGAATGCCCTGGCCCGAAGCGCCAGCATCCCAAGTGGGCGCCAGTTTGAGTCCTGGCTGCTCCTCTTCTGATTCAGCTCTCTGCTATGGCCTGGGAAGCAATAGAAGATGTCCCAGGAGCCGACACCATGGCTCAGTTGGTTAATCCTCCACCTGCAGTGCTGGTTCTAGTCCCAGCTGCTCCTCTTCCAGCCCAGCTCTCTGCTGTGGCCTGGGAAGGCAGTGGAGGATGGCCCAAGTGCTTGGGCCCTGCACCCGCATGGGAGACCAGGCTTCAGATCAGTGCAGCTCTGGCTGTTGCAGCCAGCTGGGGAGTGAACCAACAGACAGAAGACCTCTCTCTCTCTCTCTCTCTCTCTCTCTCTCTCTCTTTCTCTTTGCCTGTCTCTCTGTGTAACTCTGACTTTTAAATCTTAAAAAAAAACAAAAACAAAAACAAACAGTCCTCAGGCAGAATGTGACTGGAAGGGGGGAGTAAGCCTCAGGTATACTTAAAATTTGTAGAACTTTTTGTAAAATTCTTCACATGGGGAATGCACAGTGGCACAACTGCAATGGAAAACTGTATGGCTCCAACTTATGCAAAAGTGGTACACATCAGTAGAAACCATACTTTGAATTATGAGTTTTGAGCTTTTCCTTGACTAGTGATATGCACTGTGATTCTCTCTCCAGATCCTGGACAGTGGCAGTGAACAATAGTTTCCAGCCATGCAACTGTGAGTATAAACAACTAGTATCTACAGTGTACTACGTTGTTGGAGGGTTTGGACTACTGCATTTTGTGTTTTCACATTCCATTATGTCTACAAAATGCTCGTTATGTCTGCTATACCCATACAACCATTCTATTTTTTTTTTAAATTTTCTGTGCATTATTCAATGAATTACATGAGGTATTCAACATATTATTATAAACTGGGCTTTGAGTTAGGTGATTATATCTACAATCATCTAATGGAAGTGTTCTGAGCATGTGTTCTTTTTAGCTGGGAGACAGAGAGAAAAAAAGCAGAGAGAGGGGGCTTCTACCCTCTGGTTCATTTCCCAAATGCCTGCAATGGCTGGGACCGGGAGGGCTGAAGCTGGGAGCCAGGAACTCAATCCAAGTCTCCCACATAGGTGGTAGTAGACCAATGATTTGAACCATTATCGCTTTTTCCCAGAGTGGGAAGCTACAGTCAGGAACCGATGTACTTAAATGAGACACACATTTTAGGCAAAATGCCTGCCCCCTTAGCATATTTAAGGTAGGCTAAGCTATGCTATGATGTTTGATAGGTTTAGGTATATTCAACAGGTTTAGGTATGTTCAACACATTTTACTTACTTATTTGAGAATCAGAGAGATAATCTGACAGACCAATAGAAAGCCCTCTTCTGCTAGGTCACTTCCCAAATGCCTACAGTAACCCAGCTGGAGCTGAAGCCAGGAGACAGGAACTCAAACCAGGTCTCCCATATGGATGGTGGAAACTTAATTACTTGAGCCATTATCGCCACCTCCAAGAGTATGCATTATGAGAAAGCTGGAGTCAAGAGTGTAGTCAGATATCAAACTCTGGTACTCCAATATTAGACACAAGAGTCTTAGCCACTAGGCCAAACACTCTCGCCATTAAATACACTTCTGATTCATATTTCCAATTTATGGTGGGTTCATTAGGACATAACACTATCATACATTGAGAAGCATCTGTATAGTAGTTCCACAAAAAAACGTGGAATGACTATGATCCTCCAATTCTATATCTAGGTATATACCCAAAAGAATTGAAAACAAGGTCTTGAAGAGATATTTTGTAGCTTATGTCCATGACAGCATTATTCACAATATCCCAAAAGTTAGAAGCAAATCAAGTATCACAAAATATGAATATATAATTCAGCTTACTTCTGACACATGCTACAATATGGATGAACGTTGAGGACATCATACGCAATAAAAAAAGTCAGTCACAAAAACACACATACTGTATAGTTGAATTCATGTAAGGTACCTAGAGTAGTCAAATTCATAGAGACAGAAAGTAGAATGCTTGGTTGTCAAGGGACAAAGGAAAAGGGGACTGAAGAGTTGATTAATGGACATAGAGTGCTGGTTTTCCAAGATAAAGGAGTTCTGAATATTGCTTCACAATGGTGCGAATGTACTTGACAGTACTGAAGTGTACACTTGAAATGATTATAAGTTCTGTGTGTATTTTACCACAATTAAAGATAAGTAAAAGATTCTATAGGCAGCAGGTATTTATGACTTAGCTATACACTGGCATCTATTGTTTTTATTTCTATTAGATAGATCACTTGTTCACTTCAGGCTGACAGAGGAAAAATAATTGTCTTTGGTATGGAAGTCATATTTCATTTTGTTTTCTCTGATGCTGACTCATTTCATTTGTGCTAAGAGCTGCATTATGTAAATGAAATCCAGGGTGAAAGAGATTAAAAAGAAGGAATAATTTGTCTCTAAAATCTTCTTCCCTCTCTGAACCACTTTAATCTAATTTCTGACTGAGAGTAATATGCATGCTTCCAGGAATGACTGCCCAAGTCTGTCATGGTTTTGAGTCAGATAGAAGCATTAGGACATACCAGGATGCACAAGAATATGAAATTTAGAACTATAATTCTAGAATAAATTATGATTAAAGGGCCTTGAAATTGGTATTTTTTTCTGAATGAATTTTATTTCTAAATAATTATTGATTGTGCATCCCTGATTGGACATGTTTACTTAACTGCCCATCCTTTCTCTATTTAGCAGAGGTTCTAGAAGGATGTGGTTACTGGAGGGCATGGAAATGATGTAAGGAGCACAAACCAGGGAAATTAGATGTATGAGACTACTTCAAAAAAGTTCATGGAAAAGTGGAATTAAAAATAAGTGTTTATTTTGGAACAAAATTTTTAAAATAATACGTGGAAAACACATGAAAAAAACTATGTATGGACTTCCAAATTCATGTTGCACCAAAATAAACTTATATATTTAATTCCATTTTTTCATGAACTTTCTTAAGTACTTTTGTATGTTTCCTAGTTCACTTGACTTTGCTTCATTTAATCCCATGAATTTACTCATGAATCGAACAAATATTTCTTAATTCCCTCATAGTGCACTTGAATTTGTTCCATTTAATTTCATAAATGTACTCATTCATTGAGCACATATTTCTTAATTTCCTACCATGTGCCACACACAACAGTATGCATAGCAAACAAGACAACCATGGTACCTGCCCCATGGAGTTCATGGTCAGTTGGAAAGATAGACATTAAACAAAGGGTTCACAAGTGATTATCACAACAGAGTTGTGTTAAGGGTTATGGAGCAGGCTGGAGGCCCTGTTCTGATTTTGGGGATCGGAAATGGTGCATGAATTTTTCCCTGAGGAAGTAGTGTTTAAATTGAGACCTAATAATAAGGTCACAAGACAGCTTGCTTCATTGGTTCCTGAAACTTTTGAACTTTAATGGCGAATAAACAAAACATTTTTGCTTGCATAAGATTTTGAAAAGATTCCCACAACAATGTGAGTTTCAGTCTCTTTGATCAGCCAATTAAAAACACCTATTGGGCACTTTCCATGTGAGGGTGCTGAATAAGTTAACTGAGTGGGAGGATAAAATACAGTAACAATACTTTCCAAGCATAGCTCTGAGTTTCCATATTCTCATTTCTTCCCTCTCAATGGGTCTGTAGGAGACCATTATTGTCCCCATTTTATAAGAAAGGAAACAAACATGACTTGCCTAACGTTCTGAGGCTTCCAAATCTAGGATTTAGAACTTTCCCTATTTGTTGTCTTGACACAAAAGGATCCTGTCGATTCCACCACCTTATATTTGTATGTTTTAAAGAAATGAAGTTGGTAGTTGTGATTTTCGCCTGCCCAGCATCTACTTTTTTTTTTTTTTTTACTTATGGCCATGACACTCCAACTGTCTTTTTACTCTCTGATCACGTGATAAGGTGAGGATAACCCTATGTCACCTTTGCTCCAGGGTGTGAGATGGCCAAGACTACCATAATATCTTAAGAGGAGTTAAAAAAATTCCCCCTCCCCAGACAGACCCAGTCTTGTACCTGGATAAAGGCTTGGTGATTGTGGTCCACACTGGACTTAAGACCCTGCTTTCCCTATTTGCAGTGGAAAACTTGTATAATTATTTGTGATGGCCATCTTCCACTGCTTTCCCAGGCAAGTAAGCAGTGAGCTGAATTGGAAGTAGAACCACTGGGACTCAAACCAGTTCTCTGATATGGGATGCTGGCATTGCAAGTGGTGGCTTAACTCACTGCACCACAGTGCCAACCCTGAAAAAAATTTCCAATGATATTGTTTGTTTACCATGCCTGGAGACAGTGCTATTCATGGAGAGGAAATAATATGCAAGATATTTTTCAAAGCTATTATCTGCCATGCCTAGAACAGTGCCTAGCACAGAGGAAACAATCAATAAATGTATTTTGAATGACTGAGCCAACAAATTCCTTTTTATACACACACACACACACACACACACACATATATATATAATTGGTTTTCTTCAAAAGTCTCAGTTCCTTGAGGTATATACAAAAAAATTGTTTTTCTCAAGAATGCTCTCTCATGTTCTTTTTCACTAGTTAGCCAAAAAAAAATCTTGACCAGATCAGTGTACAAGATTGGTCAAGAGCTCTGTGCTCCCAGAATGCATGCCTCTTTCTCCTTGTCAGTCTGATTCTTCTATCAGCTTATGGTGAGGAGGTGATATAGCCCATCTGGTCCTTACATCTTTCAGCAAGTCCTTCTAAGAAGTAGGTGTCTACTAGGCTCATTAGATTCTCTCAGACTTTTTAGAATATTGAAGTGAGTACTTCATATCTAATATTCTCAGGTTTGGGCCTTTGAAATAATTTCCAAACAATAGGAAAAATCCCACTCAACATTTTATCATATTTGAGTTGGATCAAAAGCAACTAAATATAGATGAGATGATTTATTTTAAAGATTTACTTATGTATTTGAAAGGCAGAGTTAGAGAGAGAGAGAGAGAGAGAGAGAGAGAGAATATCTTCCATCGCTGCTCCACTCCCTAAATGGCCGCAATAGCCAGAGCAGGGCCAATATGGATCAGATGACTTTGAAAGAGAATAGGATGACATTTTAAGTAAGTTCAGGCAAATGAGTAATATATATGTAGTGGATTGAGGGATATCCCCAAAAGAGATGGAAAGCAGGGAATAAGAGGAAAGCCATAAGAAGCAAAGTAAAACTTGAAGATATTAAGTAATTACATGCTAAGGACTTTGGTATTTTAGGAAAATTAGTCTTTTTGTGGTATGAGGGGTAAATGAGGGTGAAAAAAATCTGAAAGAAGCTAGACTAACTGAAAATCTTTTTACTATTCAGATTCGCAGTGCAGGTTCAAAAGAGGAGATGGATTTAAAAAAAGGTGTTCATAGGGTGTTTTGTACAAAGAGCTGGAATCCTTTTTAGAAAAGGCAGGGTATTAAGATATTGCATGATAATACAAAGGTATTGTTATTGACACAGAGGCAGAGTAAGTTTAATAGAATGTAAATTCTACCACATAACAAGGAGTTATTTTTAGGGCTGCATGTTGAATGCTCATAACAATTTAGTCCCCAATGGGCCATAAATTGGTAGCAAGACTGATATAGGAAGATACATTTCAATTTAATTTTTTCCAGTTACTGGACTGGTTTATTGAATAAAAGAATTCAAAATCTTCATGCTCATCTAAAAATGGAAGCTGGAATGTGAATTGACTTTCTGTTTGGCTTAAACTGTTACTTATTCTCACGCAATGGAAATTAAAGATACAAGAAAATCCAATAAGTATTTTGTGAATAATTTCCTTGGGAAGAGTTATTTCATAAAATGAGTTCAGTGAAATCTTTGCTTTTATTTTAGTAATGAAAATGCATGCATAACATATACTGCTATCCTTGCTTGATTTTTATTATTGGTTTGGTTAGTAGGGTACCAAAGTGGTTCCTTGAACATTAATACACGGAATTTTCCCCCTAAATATTTCTGGCATAGTTTTCTTCTGATGCATAGTTATCTCTGAAGAAACATTAAATTGGGAAGAGAATTCAAAGTATTTAACAGGATGTACTACATTATATTACTGACACTGCATGCATTTACATCATTTAAGAAATCTTTTTAATCTACAATGCTTTGTTTTTGAAGATCACTATTCGAGAATACATTCTTACAAGAAGTCCTACCCCCTTAGATTCAACTTATCATGCATGCAATCTGAAAGTTACCCACCTTTTTAAGTTACTATGTTTATAAAGAAGAATTTTGTAATTATACAAGCTCAGAATGAGTAATGGCAATATAAATCAGAACCTAAGTAGAGTAACTTTATTTACATAAACATAATCAAATTATCTTCACTCTCTAACCATATTTAGGCTTTGTTTTACGTATATCCGAAGGTGAACATCGTCTTTTCCACTTCCACATTACATTTTGGTCAGATTTATCTTCATTTTCCTAGGCAACCAGGCTTGAAAATTTGGAATCATTGTTGGCTATTCTCTGTTCTTCAATAACAGTGGTCAACATATTGAGTGATCATTCAGTGCCAAATTCTGTGTAGAGCCCTTTACACATAATATTTCATATCTTCACAGCAGTTATTTTAAGTATTTACTGTTATTATCCTCATTTTAAAAGAGGAAAAACAGTTATACAAAGATTAAGTCATTTACCTAACATCACATAAGTGGTAGAGGCAGGACTGGAAGTGAGGAATGAATGGAAGATTTTATAATCGCAACTGATTCTTCTATACTGCCTCCTAATAACACCTTTCTGTTAATCTAAGAATTCACTGATTTATTCATTTGTTAATTTATTCTTTTATTCCCAAAATACATATTAACAAATGTGGATCAGAGACCATAAAAGATGGTAAGATGATTAATAAAATCATCTTACCAAAGTCCTGCCCCTAACAATTTAGGTGGCCAAACATTAACTAAATATTAAAGCAAGACTTAAGTGTTCTATGCATGTTATTTTGTTTCTGGTTCTATAAAATTGGATACTTTGGGCTATAAATAACAGGGAACTTATAAAAGTTTAAACAATGTTGGAAATTTACTTAAATCACACATATAAGTTTGGAGTTTGGCAGTTTCTGAATTTCTTCAGTGGCTCAATGTTACCATTTACCAACTACAGTACTTTTCACTCTTCTGTTTCTCTCTCGCTGTCTAAAGATTATTTATTTAAAAGGCAGAGTTACTGAGAGAAAGAGAGAGAGAGAGAGGGAAGGGGTGGGATGAGGGAGAGGGAGGGGGAGGGAGAGGGAGAGAGAGATATCTTCCATCTGCTGGTTCACTCCCCAAATGGCTGAAATGGCCAGGGTTGGGCCAGGCTGAAACCAGGAGCTTGGAGCTTCATTTGAATCTCCCACATGGGTGCAGGGGTCCAAGCCCTTGGGCCATTTTCTGATGCTTTCCCAGGCACATTAGCAGGGAGCTGGTCCTGAATTGGGGCAGCCAGGTCTCACCAGCGCCCACAGGGGATGCGGGCATCACATATGGCAGCTTTACCTGCTATGGTACAATGCTAGTTCCTCTGTTTCACTTTCCATTATGTTTAAGAGAGGCCTCTCTGCTATGATACCAGAAACATGTCCTCACATTACAGCATTTAAAGCAGAAAGGAAGGATATGCACAGAAAAGAACTCTTTATCTATGCCTTCTCTTTCATCGGGGAAAATTTGTTTTTAACCAGAATCCTCCAGCGGTCTGCTCCTTATGTCTCAGGGGATAGAGCATGCCTTACATTTGTTAGTACTTGTTATACTCCTAGAGTCCAATACTTGGTGCATTCTAGGGGTTCAGTAACTATTTATTCAATATTTATTGCATCAATCAGTGAATGGAAAGTGTCCTTTAGGCCATTTGTCAATGAGGCTATAAAAGTCATAAAAAGAACCAGTCCCAGGACTCTGCACCTCAGTTTCTGTTACGACAAGACAAGAAAAGGAACTAATTTCCTAGGGCTTCTGTAACAAAGTATTACAAATCATGTGACTTAAAATAACAGACATGTTTTCTCCCACAATTCTAGAGACCAGCATTTTGAAATCAAAGGGTAGGCAGATTAGTTCCTTCTGAAGGCTCTGGAGGGAAATCTATTCAATGCCTCTCTCCTGATCTTCTGGTGGTTCCTAGCAATACATGATGTGCCTTGGCTTGTAGGTGCATCATTCCAATCCCCAAGTCCATCTTTACATTTTGTTCTCTGTTTCCTGTCCTCTTTCTTCAAAGGAAACCAATCATTGGATTTAGTGTCCATGCAAATCCAGTAGGATCTCATCTATCCAAAGACTCTTTTCTTTTTGTCTGTCTGTCTGTCTTTCTTTCTTTTTTTTTAATTTGACAGGTAGAGTTATAGACAGTGAGAGAGAGAGACAGAGAGAAAGGTCTTCTCTCCACTGGTTCACTCCCCAAATGGCCGCCAAGGCTGGTGCGCTGCGCCAATCTGAAGCCAGGAGCCAGGCGCCTCTCCACTGGTCTCCCATGCAGGTGCAGGGACCCAAGCACCTGGGCCATCCTCCACTGCCCTCCGGGGTCACAGCAGAGAGCTGGACTGGAAGAGGAGCACCCAGGACTAGAACCCGGCGCCCACATGGGATGCTGGCGCCGCAGGCAGAGGATTAACCAAGTGAGCCATGGCGCTGGCCCCAAGACTCTTTTCCAAAATAACTCCACATGTTGAGGTTCTAGGCATGAAATTTTGAAGACACTGCTCAAGCTACTAAGAAATCAGATGAAAATGATCATTTAAGGTACATTTCTATCATTAAATTAAGATCCTGCTGTACCATACACAAATCATCAAGGAACCAACTACTGGAATTCATATCTGATTTAATTGACAATTTTTATTGATACCCTTCAATGACAGATGATAAAAGACAGCAAAAAAAAATTCATCAGATTCAATATACAACCAAAGGATAGTTTTCTATGAATAAAAATGTACTCTGAGTTGTACCCAAGATGTTGGATTTAGAAGACAAACTTGGGGCTAGAGCTGTGGCATAGCAGGTAAAGCTGTCACCTGTGATGCTAGCATCCCATGTGGATGCCAGTTCGAGCTGCTCCACTTCTGACGCAGGTTCCTGCTAAAGCACCTGGGAAAGCAGTGAAAGATGGCCCTATTGCTTGGCTCTTGAATCCATGTGAGAAACCCAGAAAGAGTTCCAGGCTCCTGGCTTCAGCTTGGCCAAGCCTCAGCCATTGTGGCCATTTAGGGAGTGAACCAGGGAGTGGAAGATTTCTCTTTCTCTCTCTGTAACTTTGACTTTCAAATGAATAAATAAATCTTTAAAAAAGACAAAATTTTAAGGAAACTGTATTAGTCAGCTTTTCACTACTACAACAAAATACCTGAGGCCAAATTATATTCAGTGTATAGCAGAAACTATAACAAATTTGTTCAAAGAATTAAATATGACAGTAGCCGGCGCCGTGGCTCAATAGGCTAATCCTCCACCTTGCGGCGCCGGCACACCGGGTTCTAGTCCCGGTCGGGGCGCCGGATTCTGTCCCGGTTGCCCCTCTTCCAGGCCAGCTCTCTGCTATGGCCAGGGAGTGCAGTGGAGGATGGCCCAGGTGCTTGGGCCCTGCACCCCATGGGAGACCAGGAAAAGCACCTGGCTCCTGGCTCCTGCCAGGATCAGCGCGGTGCGCCGGCTGCAGCGGCGGCCATTGGAGGGTGAACCAACGGCAAAAGGAAGACCTTTCTCTCTCTGTCTCTCTCTCTGTCCACTCTGCCTGTCAAAAAAAAAAAAAAAGAATTAAATATGACAATAAAAATAAATAGTAAATCTTAATAAACAGAAACATTAAAAGTCAAAATTCTAGAGTTGAAAAGTACAATTGAAATGAAAATTTCACTAAATAAGCTCAACAGAAAAATCAAGACAGTGGAAGAATCAGCAATTTTGAAGATAGATCACTAGAATTCAAAGAATGGAGGTAAAAAAGATTAAAGAAAAAATGAACATTTGGTATTTGGTGAATAATGGCAGGTATTACAACACATGTTCATGGGAATACCAGAGAAGAGAAAGACAAAAGCAGAAAAGTATTAGGAGAAATAATGACTGAAATTGGGTCATGTAAGCCCTCAAACTTAGTTGTTTTTATTGGCTATTATTATTTTGATTTTAAACATGAATTCTTGACTATCTTATTGATTAAGAAAACACCTGCTGGGTTTTAGATAGAAGCTGTATTGAATTTATAAATCAATTTTGGGAAAACTGATGACTTAAAAATACTGAATCTTCCAATTTGCAAACATTGGACATATCTCCACTTCTTTAGGTCTTTGATTGTTGGGGAGCAATATTTTGTAATTTTCAGTATACAGTTCTGCATTTGGGTTAATTTATTCCTGAACATTTCATTCTTTTTCTTAAAGGTTTATATATTTAGTTGAAAGAGCTACAGAGAGAGAGAGAGAGAGAGGGAGGGAGGGAGAGGTCTTCCCTCCACCAGGTCACTCCCCAGATGAACACAACAGCCAAAGCTAGGAGCCAGGAGCTTCTTCTGGGTCTCCCAAATGGATGGCAGGAGCACAATCACTCAGGCCATCTTCTGCTGCTCTTTTCAGGTTATTAGCAGGGAGCTGGCTTGGAAGTGGAGCAGCCAGGACACGAACCCTATCTGGGATGTCAGCATTGCCTGCTGCAGCTTTACCTACTATGCCACAACACTAACTCCTACTTTATTCTTTTTGATAATATTGTGAAATTATTTTAATTTCATTTCTAATTGTTCCTATATTGACTTTTGTATTCTTATTTTCATGCCTTATTGTGCCAGCTGGAACCTCTTCTCCAATCTTGAATAGAAGCGGTGAGTGTGGAAATCCTTGCCTTGTATCCAGTGTTAAGGAGACAGCATTCAGTTGTTCATTTTTAATCACATTGATAGTTGTAGGTTTCTGTGGCTGCCTTTTACCAAGTTAAGGAAGTTAATTAATCCTATTCTTACTTTATTGAGAGCTTCATCATAGCTGTTTGATTTTATCAGATGCCTTTTCTACATCTGTTGAGATGATCAAATGTCTTTCTCCTTTATTTTATGGGATAAGATCTTTTGTTTACCACATTTGACAACAGATAATTAGCAACAGAATTGGGGTTGGTCTTTGAGAGATACATTACTTGCAAAATATCATTTACTTCAAGGTTCACCTATTGCTTTTAGTCAGGATGCCATTTGGAAAGCCAAACGTTAATTCAGATTTTTTTTTTCTTTCTTAGTGATTGTTGACAAAAATACACAAGGAGAGAGCTCACAGTAGTTCCCAGTACACTATGGCAGTCTTTATTTAGTCTTTCAACATGATTTACTGGATGCTTTCTCTATGTCAGGCTCCGTGGTTAGCCTTGGTGGTTCAACAATGCACAAAACACAAACAATTCTGCCCATAAGGAGTTAACAGTCAGGTGGCAGAGGCAGAGTAGTACACCAATCTATGATAGATTGTGGTAAGCCAAGTGATGGATGAGCACAAAAAAAGGAGATGTGACCTAAGTCAGAGAAGGCTTCTCTCAGTAAGTACTGGATGAGCTGCCATTTGAAAGATGAGCGGAGAGTTAATGAGACAGAAAGGGAGGAAGAGCACTCTGGGTATGTTCAGAGGTCCTTACAGTAGCAAGAGAACTGCTGAGGGCAGGGGTAATGTGGCTGAATCCCGCAAGCCTTTGGGTATTTACAAGTTTTGTCAAGGATTTTGGACCTTTATCAACTGGTCAGTGGGGAGTCATGGAAAGGGAAACAGGTGTGACAGAACTAGATTCGTATTTCATCGCTGGCAGCTGTAGTGGGACAAGATGAAACGCACAGACTATTTACAGGGGTGTGGCTGCATCCACGAGACCGATAACCGAGGCTTGGAACGTGGTAAAGGTGGTGGAGACTCAAAGAAGTGGATGGATTTGGGATGTATTTTGGAAGTAGGGTCCACAGGCCCTGGTGATGAGCTGTCTCACAAAGTCGCATCCACTAACAGGATTATCGATAAGCCACACAATCTCCTCCGTTCTCCCGCGATAAAGATCCAAAGGCACGGGCAGCTCTCAGGGCCGATGGCCTCACAAAGCGCAGGCGCAAGGCCCATTTCCCCCAGCTCAGTTTAAGAGGCTCCTGATTTCACCCCTGGACGTCCTGGCTGGAACCGCACTGTTTCCTGGGCAACGCCATTGTCGGGCGCTCCGGGCGGGGGAGGGGTAACTAGGACAACGCCCGGAAGAGAACTCAGGAAGAGAGGGAGAGTCAGGGGGAAAATAGGCAACAAGTGCCGCTGGCCCGATGGTCACGGGTGATTCGAGGACTCGGCACGCGGCGAGAGCGGAAGGCGGGAGGGCTGAAGAACGCGCCTGTGATTGGTGGGCTGGGGGCACCAGGACGATGGTGATTGGGCGAGTCTGAGCCGAGGGCTGCATTTTTGAACCGCGTAGGGTTCTGGGTAGCAAAGGTCTTGGAAGAGTCTTAACTGAAAGGGGGAGGGGGCGGGACGCCAACAAACGGCTGAGCTCACAATCTGGGCTGGGACTAGACCCGGGCCCCCCTCCCCCCCCATGGAGAGGGCCAGGCCGGAGCCGCTGCCTCAGCCGCGCCAACTGCCGAGGGCGACACCGCCGCGCCCGTTGCGCCTGGCTCCGCCCTCGCTGTCGGTCGAGGGCGCCTCCTTTCGAGCAGCGGCCGCCGAGCCCCCTCCGTCGCCGCCTATCCCGTGTGCGGCCGCCATTGCGACCATGGCCTCGTCGTGCGGGGACGCCCCGGCGTCGGGCGTACCGCCCGCGGCACGGCGGCTACTACAAGTGAAGCAGGAGCAGGTGTTGCTGCTGCCTCAGTCCCCGGACGAGGGCGCCATTGCCTCCCCGGGGCAGGCGCGGCTGCTGCAGCTGAGGCCTGAGCTATTGCTGCTGCCGCCGCCGCCCACCCCCGAGGGCGGTCCCTGCAGGCCCGAGTTGCACCCGATGCAGCCCCGGGTGCTGCAGGTCAAGGCCGAGAAGCCAGAGCCGGGGCCCAGCTTGGACCCGTCGGTGGCACCTCGGAGGGCCGTCGAGGCAGGTCCTAGAGCCTGCAGGACGGCCAAAGGGGAGGGCCCCGGGCCGGCCCCCGACAGCAGCCGAGGGAATGAGAAGGGCAAGATGGAGCCGGAGGAGGTCATGAGGGATGCGGTGAAAGGCGGGGAAAGCAAAAGCCTGCCGGCCTTGGGAGAAGGAGTCATCAAAACGGAGGAGCCGGAGAGATTCCACGAGGACTGCAGTCTCGGCCCGGAAGGCGCGTCCAATGGCCTGGGCCATGACAGCAAGGAAATGATCCTGACCCAGACGTCCAGCGCCTTTGGGCCGCACCAGCAAGACCTCAGGATCCCCTTGACTCTCCACACCGTCCCTCCTGGGGCGCGGATCCAGTTTCAGGGACCTCCAGCTTCAGATCTGATACGGTTGACCAAGGTCCCCCTGACACCAGTGCCTATTAAAATGCAGTCCTTACTGGAGCCTTCTGTAAAAATTGAAACCAAAGATGTCCCGCTCACCGTGCTTCCCTCAGACGCAGGTATAGATGGCAGGGGATTCTGGTTTTCAAAACTTCGTCTCTGTTGCCCCAATAGCTGCCTTGTGAGCAGTTCAGAAGCCTAAACTAAAAAAGTAAACATGGAACTGATTCTTTTCAGGGCCAAGTCTGCACAGGTATCACTTCTGATTGACATGTATGTATACAGTAAAATAACGAACACCTTCAGTATTCCCAGACATTCCCGGTCAGTGGTGAGATTTAGAAATAGTCTCGTGAGACCACAGAAAACCTTCAGTTTCTGTGCTGCAAACCATCATCAACAATATCATAATAGTGCCATGCTTAACTTGTATCTTAGAAACAGTGGTGTTTAAATGAAAACGTTTAAACAAGTTTACATTGATGATAGAGGTTATTTTTAAAAACGAACATTAATTTTTTCAGGAGAGAATATGTTATTAAATGTAAAGCTTTAGAATTTAGTTTTCTAAAAGCTAAGGACTTAAAATGAAAATACTGTAAGCTAGAAAATTTGTTTTTTGAAGAAATGACTATAGTTAGAACAGTAGCAACCAAAAATAGGTGTCTTATTTCTACCAGCATTTCCAAAATCTTATTTTAAGATTTAGTTCAGACAGAACTGCACCAGTGTGTATCTTGGAAGGTCATGCTAATCCTCAGTTCATATTTTTATTAACTGTTATGTTTATTTTTGTTTATTTTTTCTACCCCTCCCCCCTTGTTTTTACCTTTGTAGTTTTAAGCCTTTGTTTTCATTTTCTAAACGAACAAACAACTGAGGATTTTACATATTTCATTCTTTGCATTTTTTGCTTATTTTTTACGTCACTTATCTCTAAAGTAAGTTTATAGTCAGTTCTTGTAGGAGCTACAAAAGATCGGTGAATTTATCTTTAATATAATTTCAAATGGCTCTGTGACTCTGAAAAAGTCACTTTTATTACTTTTCTCTTGTTTTTCTCCCTGGACATGGGACTAGTGTTGATGAGTCACTTTGGCAGGAACTTCACCTTCACAATAAAATACAACTTATACAGTAGTATTATAAATATTTTTGCTTGGAAGGACACAATAGCATGTAAATAAGTTCCTCTAAATATTTATGAAGCACATATGTAGTGGTAGGAATGGCTATGAATAAATCATAGTTTCTGTCGCTTGATGGACTGTTTTTCATGGGGAAAAATTTCAGATGTTATTTGCTGTTAGAAGTGTTGGCAAAGCTCAAAGAAATAATGTCAGGAATCTATTGCTTTAATGTTATTTCCACAATATCTTCAATAATATCCTCTTTGAGAAAAAGGAGAGTAATTCTAAGCTACAGTTTAGAATGCTAAGTTCAGAGGTTATAAGGTACTTGGGATTATTGGCAGTTCTTTGGCTCTATTGAGGTACATGTTTTCTTCAGATATTAAAAAAATTAAGAAGGATAGATGGAGGTGCACTTCACTTTAAAATTGTTTGTGTATGTATGTCTGTACGTGGCACATTAATTTAGTCTCTTAATTTTTGTCGTGTAGGAATACCAGATACTCCCTTCAGTAAGGACAGAAATGGTCATGTGAAGCGACCTATGAATGCATTTATGGTTTGGGCAAGGATCCACCGGCCAGCACTAGCCAAAGCTAACCCAGCAGCCAACAATGCAGAAATCAGTGTCCAGCTCGGGTTAGAGTGGAACAAACTTAGTGAAGAACAAAAGAAACCCTATTATGATGAAGCACAAAAGATTAAAGAAAAGCACAGAGAGGAATTTCCTGGTAATCAATTGAAATGAACAAAACATCTTTCTAATTTCTTTCAAATTAATTTATTTAGATAAAGATTAGATTAGGTTGAGACTGAAAGAAATGTAATTTTTTTCTAATCTATGTATTATAAAGAAAATAATGGTTAACATTATATTAATACTTGAAATGATATTGAGCATAAGTGTCTGTAAGTTTCCAAGTTGGAGGATACCTGGTCTCGTATTTACCAACTAATGGAAACCAGGGGACAAATAGTTTTATTATGATTTTGGTTAAATACATATAGAGATAATAGACCTAAGTTTAATGAAGATAAACAGGGTCCTAGGCTATAATTTTGCTGATATATTTGCAGATATATAGGTATTTTTGCCAATATACTTAAAATCATAGAAACAAAAAAAGTCTATTTGCATGATCCAAGATAATGAGAATGCAGGGATTACACCATGTTCCATTTTACCAGACATTCTTTACTTCCATCATGATATGGTTTGAAACAAGTCTGATTTCTCCCCAGCAATGAAACATTGACATTAAGCTTCAGAAAATGCACAGTGTCTGGCCCACATGGCTATCATGGTGGGTGAAGAATTATTTTTTTCTAAAATATGAGCAGAGAGATTCTTGGAGGGAAAATCAGAGGCAGCAACAGTGGGGAACCAGTGGTACTTCTGCTTATACAGTGGCTACAACTGCCATTAACTCCGTTCTTCTGACTGTAGGAGGAAATGGAGTTTACTTGGACATTGCCAAGCCTAAGAGGGTGACTCTTCCTGAACTGGGTATAAGAATAGGGATTGCTCATCAGTGACTATGTCATTGTGAGAAACAGACAATTGTATAAAGTGAGGATACAGGAAGAGATGAATCATGTGAAACTGGGACATTGTTTTATAGGTAGAGGACAGACTTTGGATTTATTCTCAATAGCTTTATTACACGATTCCAATATAGATACAATTTATGTAATTGGTTATAAGGCATTTGACTTCACTCTTCAATTATGGTTTACAACATTGGCTATTAGGAACTGTATGGATATGTGTAATAAAACGCACAGTAGAGGAGTCATTCACATACGTAGTACCGTAGAACTTGAAAAGATACTTTAGATCATAATTTTTTTGAAGATTTATTTATTTATTTGAAAGGCAGAGTTACAGAGAGTCAGAGAGAGAGAGAAAGGTCATCCATCCACTGGCTCACTCCCCAGATGGCCACAACAACTGGAGCTAGGCTGATTTGAAGCCAGGAGCCAGGAGCTTCTTCTGGGTCTCCCACATGGGTGCAGGGACCCAAAGACTTGGGGCATCCTCTACTGCCTAACCTGGCCACAGCAGAGAGTGGGATTGGAAGTGGAGCAGCCTGAGTGCCCATATAGGATGCAGGCACTGCAGGTGGCAGCTTCACCTGCTATGCCACAGCACCAGCCCCTAAATTATAATTAAAAAAAAAAAAAAAAACAACTTTGAAGTGCTTTGCATTTTAATATGAGAAGCATCTCAAAGCTAAACCATTTATATATTCATATTCAAAATAGTTTATTTTCTTCTATAGGTTGGGTTTATCAACCTCGTCCAGGGAAGCGAAAACGCTTCCCTCTAAGTGTTTCCAATGTGTTTTCTGGTACCACACAGAATATCATCTCTACAAATCCTACAACAATTTATCCTTATCGCTCACCTACCTACTCTGTGGTAATACCCAGCCTACAGAACCCCATCACTCATCCAGTTGGTGAGTTGGCTTTATTGTCAATTACTATTTTTTAAAAAGTACATAAAAATTTACCTCTTTAAGTTGAAATTCTTTTCTGTTAAAATTAATAATTTATAAAGCAGTATTACAAATCAAAAGGAAGAAATTGAGAACATTAATAGTAAGGAAAAATCTCATTATCTGCCTAATCTATGGGGTAATTCAGTAGGAAACAGGAGGGTCTTTTTACTATCTGCATAAAAAAATGCCCTACTAATGGGGTGTGAGGCTTCTCTCTTAGAACTTAGTAGTGATACTGCTATGTTAGGATAATTTTCTCATTGCTCTAGAAAGCAATGGGAGTAGTCTATTTTCTGCCAAATACCTGTTTGCTTTATTATATTGTCTCTCCCTAAATTCTCATCTATTATCAATATTTTACAATTCTTGTCAATTTTAAGAATCCAAAATTGAGAACCTATTATTCTTAATGACTTGTCATGGGACTATCCATTGTTAGTTTGTTCTTCCAGAACTTGTTTTAACCATCTTTGAAGGAGTGTTTTGTACATTCACTATTTGCTATTACCTACGTGTCTTAAAGCTCCTTAAGACAAAACTACCTAAATCTGCTCTTTCAGCTTCTATCTCCTCAGATTCTTCTGGTAACAAAACTACTCCTATAAACAGAGATTTAGGTATCTTGGAAATTGACTTATTAGAATCTTATGTATTTGCACTGTTTTTTAAAAGTATCATTTTAGAAATCCATAGCAACAAAGTTACATTCAAGATGTCTGAGCTAAGAAAGCTGATCCAATAGCTCTGTTTTTTGCCAGCACAGTCAGGCATTCTCACATGTCACTGCTTCATAGTATCTCCTTTAATCCCATATTTAGTGTAGGCTTGATAATGTCTTTGTCCACTTTATCTTGTTTTTCTAGTGTATTATATGTGATTCTGTTTTCATAATATATGTTTCTCTCTCTGTCCTTTTTGTTGCTCAAGACCTAACTTACATGTACTTCAATCCACTATTAAATACTATGAGTTTTTTTTTCCCCCCAGGAATAGATTTATCAGTGTACTTAGTTGAAACAATTGATATTTTATATAATATTTTAATTTTATGCCATTCTGAGATGTAAGATAGCTAAAACAAAGATTTTCTTCTAATATTGGTAGTATTCTTTTTTTATAGTTAAGATAGATTTATTTATTTATTTTTTATTTGTTTGACAGAGTTATAGACAGTGTGAGAAAGAGACAGAGAGAAATGTCTTCCCTCCTCTGGTTCACTCCCCAAATGGCCGCCACGGCCAACGCTGCGCCCATCCAAAGCCAGGAGCCAGGAACTCCCTCCCGGTCTCCCATGCGGGTACAGGGACTCAAGCACCTGGGCCATCCTCCACTGCACTACCGGGCCACAGCAGAGAGCTAGACTGGAAGAAGAGCAACTGGGACTAGAATTCAGCGCCCATATGGGATGCCGGCACCGCAGGCAGAGGACTAACCAAGTGAGCCACGGCGCCAGCTCTCTCCTATGGCCTCGGAAAGCAGTGGAGGATGTCCCAAGTGCTTGGGTCCCTGCACCCACGTGCAGACCCAGAAGAAGGTCCTGGCTCCTAGCTTCAGATCAGCCCAGCTCTGGCCACTGCAACCATTTGGGGAGTGAACCAGCAGATGGAAGATTTCTCTCTCTCTACCTCTGCCTCTCTGTAACTCTGCCTTTCAAATAAATAAATAAACTTTTTTTAAAAAAGATAATGCTCTCTGTTTAACAAGTGAGATCCAAGAAATAAATTCTTATTTTTATTAGATATCACCAGATATAAGGGACATTGTGTGTGGGGGAACTAAACATGATCTTGTCTTAAATTTGATTATTGTTGTGTTTGGCTCAGAATTACATTCTATAATTCTGTCACACTTAAATGTAGCATCATGGATATAAGAATACTATCTATACTATCTATCTTTTTTTCCAGTAATCTTTGTGCATTGGTATGATATTGTATAGATTTCACCAACTTTTGAGGTATAGAAATAGACCTACCAAGCTAGAGCTTTCAAGGTCACCACTTCCAGTAGCTGGAAGTTACACTTACTTTTCAAAAAATGTGTCAGAGGCCATTCAGATATTCTTTAATAATTAATTTCTCAGTTCTGCCTTTGAGTTTTTCCCTACAATTCTTAGGTGAATGCCAAAGATCCATTTGTATTCAGTCTGCCATTTTGGACATTTTATGAATTTGTCATTGTACTGTAGTTGATCTTGTATTCTTAAACTGTCTACTATGAAAATTAGTTAGGGTTCAGAAATCTTAAGGTCTTTTTTACTAGGAAGAAGTTTGCTGAGTCTATTTTCAGTTGTCTTTTATGCTGTAACGACTAATTCCACTGATTCTCTTCTTTCTGCAGAAGTATTTAGAGAGCCAGTTAGCATTGATTTTGAGGCCTCTGAGCTATGGCTCCATATTTTTCCATTAGGCTGCCTGATTTTTTTTTTAAAGATTATTTATTTGAAAGGCAGAGTTATGTAAGAGAGAGAGAAAGAGAAAGTGAAAGAAAGAGATTTTCCATCCTCTGGTTCACTCCCCAGATGGCCACAATGTCCAGGGCTAGGCCAGGCCAAAGCCAGGAGCCTGGAACTCCCTGTCAGTCTCCGTTGTGGGTGGTAGGGACCCAGGTACTTCGGCCATCTTCCACTGCTTTCTCATGTATGTTAGCAGGGAGCTGTATTTGAAGTGGAGCAGCCAGGACTGGAACCTGTGCTCATATGTGAAGCCAGCATCACAGGTGGCAACTTAACTCCCTGCACCACAATACTGACCCCTGCACAAACTCAATAAATTCTATTTGATTTGGCCGATTAGCCATAGAAAGTCTCTGATTTGAGCCACATTTTTCCTTCGGTGTTTTTAGCATTATCATGTAACTTAACCTTTATTTTTCTATGACATTTTTGTTTGTTATCCATATCAGTTTTTTCCCTAACCAATATCTATTTTCTGAAAGTTGAGTAATCCCATGGTGTTTTTTTTATCTTATTAATCAGAATCTTAAATTTAAATATGTTGTGATTACTACTGCATAATATTTTACACAGTTGATTTATAGATTTTTCTAGTAGTCTTTCTTCATTATTTGGCTCTTAATCTTATTTTACTGTGAATCATATTAACCCTACTTATCCTAATAAGCAATTATTTATGCTTAACTAGATATTCCCAGCACATTTTCATCCCATTAATATATTCATTCAATCTATTTGAAATCTGACAGTGTAATTGTGTTTTCTCCCTTGTTTCGATAAATTTTTCTATCTCACATGTCTTCTGTGTAAATCCATATGTCTCAGTATCAGTACTGCCTACTTGTTCACTCTACTACTTGATGTATATTAAGTCCCTGTTATAAGCCAAATTCTATGCCAGTGACAAAGAATAAAAATGTTTATATAATTTCTGCCATTAAAGAGTTCTTGAGTAGCTGTAGAAAGGACAGATGCAAATACAACTCATTTTACTATTTCTGATTTTATCTATAGTACCTTCCTTGTCTGGTATTATTTTCGTGTCCAGTGCATTCATTCTACTCTTATCTCTCACATTTATTCTACTTTCTACACTCTTCTTCTATTTATATTTTCTAAAAGTACTTATATATTGATAGTCCAGAATTCTCTTTAGAGAATTTATTAAATTCTCTCCCTCTCTCTTTAAGGAATTTATCAAATGTCTCTGATGCCATTAATGCCAGTCTTCTGATTTTATATTAGTATTCATGTTCATTTAAAGGCTTTTGAAATTTTTGCAGAAGCTGTATTTATTTTAGCCCAGTTTTTAAATATCACTTTGTACATATATGAATTTTCTGGTTAGATTATTTTCTTCCCTATATTTAATTTCTCAAGCACAAAATTGGTTTCATTACATCTTAACAAAGTTCACATCTTCTAGTATTCTGAATTCATTTATTTTCTCTTAAATTTTTTTTTTATTTTATTTTTTGACAGGCAGAGTGGACAGTGAGAGAGAGAGACAGAGAGAAAGGTCTTCCTTTTGTCGTTGGTTCACCCTCCAATGGCCGCCGCGGCCGGCGCGCTGCGGCCGGCGCACCGCGCTGATCCGATGGCAGGAGCCAGGAGCCAGGTGCTTTTCCTGGTCTCCCATGGGGTGCAGGGCCCAAGCACCTGGGCCATCCTCCACTGCACTCCCTGGCCACAGCAGAGAGCTGGCCTGGAAGAGGGGCAACCGGGACAGAATCCGGCGCCCCGACCGGGACTAGAACCCAGTGTGTCGGCGCCGCTAGGTGGAGGATTAGCCTAGTGAGCCGCGGCGCCGGCCGTTAAATTTTTTTTTTTAAATGTTTGCTCCTATTTCATTTTTTTTTCATTTGCCTGCCTTTTCTTACCTAAACAAAATAAAACCACCTGATTTGATACTGTTACAAGGCAAAAAAGAGGCGGTATTCTTGTCTCATCCTTAAGGTTCATTCCAACAAAGTATATTTATAAGAAACTCAAATTTGACACAAAAATTCCCTGAAAAATGATGTACCCCTTTATTTTACGTTTTTGTAAGGAGCAGGAAAGAGGAGTCACATGATCACTACAGTGCAGATTCTCTTGGGGCTCCTCATTATCTTTGTGAGTCCCCAGAGTCTCATTTTCTTCACAGTTACCTGACTAACTAGTCTTACCAATTCTTCCATTCTCATGTTTCTGTCTCTTTGTATATTTCTCTCTTTTCTCATTCCGCCCCCACCCTAGTCTCATGCTGATTCTCCTTATTACCTCCTTAAACTTTTTTCTTTTAGAAAAATTTGATCTGTCCTCAGTTTCTGCCATTCCCCACTCCACTGCTCATGAAAGATATAGCCAGCCATTTGCAGTCACACAGCAAAAGCTTGGTTGCATCCTATATTCATTGAGCACATATAATGTATTCTTCCTCCTTGGATTGGGTGGTGTGAAATATTGCTGGAATTGTTTAAAACTATAATTTTCTAGTTTTTATTTTGATTTTTAAGATATA